TCGATTAAGCTCGGATTCCAAATCCCTCACCACATCCCAAATGATTGGGAGAAGCTGCTTAATTAGATCCAGTTCCTCTTGGAGGGTTTTAATGTTCCGCAGCGAATTAGTTGTACCAGCCCGACTCCAATCATATAACAGATGACGACGCTTTTTCAATTTCTGCCAAAGCTGGTACATAGGAGTCCCCTGGATTTCCTCCTTCCATTCAAAGTGAACCATAGCCTTCACCTCAAGATTATCTGCCCAACGAGCATCAAATCGAAAGAGGGATCGACTAGTTCGGGCATATGGTTTATCTGACAGGAGGAGGGCACATGATCCGATCTTTGGTCTGTGAAATGTTTAAGTAAAGTGTCAGGGAAGTGGTCAACTCAAGCTTGGGAACACAACGCTCTGTCCAAACGTTCGAATAATAACAGTGGGACCCATACGCTTGTTTGTCCAAGTAAATTGATCCCCTAGAAATCCCATGTCATGAAGGCCAAAATCATGAAATAAGTCACCGAGAGCAATCGATTTAGCCAAATTCCATGGGGTGATAAGTGAATTTCCCATTCCAATTGATCCTTATTTGATTGTGCCCAACACAATACATGATCCTTCTCGTCCATGTACTTGGAATGCAAATCTCCACCAACGTGTTTCGGATGAAGTTCTAGCTAAGCTGGTCATAAGCCTTCTCCAAATCAATTTTGATCCCTAGCCCTCATTTCTTTTCTTTATTGGATCGAAGAGAATGAAGCACTTCTCGGACGATTATGATATTGTCACTGGTCTGGTGCTTCGAAATAATTCTAGATCTAGATAGTATAGACTAGAGTGGAGATATTATCATAAACAAAGCAAAATAAAATAAAACAACAATCATTTTGCACTATGCAAAACAATCGTTTATCATCGTCTTTTAATATTGGTTAATCAGTGATTATCCGATAAACCTTGAACCTCTTGTTAATCCGGTTCGATGTTCAGTTCGATGTTGACAACACTGAATTTTAATGGCTTAAGAATCTCAACCCGGGCTAGCTAAAACACTGCTAGGCTCTTCTAATATCCTAAAACCGTCTCCAATTCACCATTACCGTTAGGTTAGACATGTAGGTGGTTAATCTATGGATTAATATCGACCACTCATGAATAACCCCAACCCTAGTGAATATATGATTGATGTGGATAGATCATGGAAAATTTTGTACCCGCTTATTCCGGTGGATGGTGGATGAGTTACTAGTCATTTGAATAACCCATATCCCAATTTCACATGGCAAAAAGATATTTGTAGTGTATACAATTAAATGGTCATCAATCATCATATTTTCTAAACCGCACATACAGTGACCATTGACTTATAAAGACCGAAAATAAAGATAATTTTTTAACTATTACTGTTGTTACTAGTCTTACTATGTTGTGTAATATCCATGGTTGTCATGCCGGTGGCATGCCACCCGGTTCAACCAGGTTCAACCTGTACCGGTCATGAAACCGGCATGACACCACCGGTATGACCGGTATGATCGACTTACGCATTTTAAGTTTAATGACATCATTTTAATGAATTTAATGAATAAAAAAATTAATTTATTATTCATTTTATGAATGTAATAGTTAAAAGTTGATGATATTTGTTGGATTGTAACTAAATTGTCCACAAATATGTTTTATATATGATTAAATACATTGGATAATAATTGTTTTCACATTTTTTAAACCGGCATGAACCGGCACAAGCTGGTTATACCACCGGTCGTACCATTCCACTTGCCAAACCGGCACAACGGTATAAACCGGTTTGACAACCTTGGTAATATCTAATTGAGATTGTGATGCATATTATAAATTTTCAATTGTATCAAAGTCGTAAACAACGTCACTTTTTTCTACACAATTGGTTTATGGAGTTGTGTAATGTCTATTTGAAAGAGAGCATTCACCTTTTTCATTTAGTTTCTCCAACACCAAAGAGAGCATTCAATCAGATCACCACTACTCCCCTTCAAAGCTTCCGCAGAACAATCCCAAGCATAACACTCCACACCAGCAGGAGAGAAACTGCAGAGAAATGCATCAGCAAAGGCACCTGTATAAAACATTCACAAAAAAAGGTGTTGTCTCGATTCTGCAGAAACATTACATAGAGGGAAGGTATTATCAGTGATCACCCCCCAATCCTTTAGTTTATCACAAGTGGCAATCCTATCAAGAATGATTAACCAGGTGATAAAGCGATTACGTGGAAGAATGAACTTTCCCCATATAATACGCTACCATGGTTGCTCAGGTTTTTTATTCGAATAGTATCCCAGATTAAAGAGATAGAGAACTTAATCATCTTCCTCCCCAGCCAAGACACACAACCATCAATATCCACATTCATTCGAAACTGGGGCCAAAGGCGAATCTTCAGTAGTTGTCGCCAAATCCAAGAAAATTTGGCAACATAAGCAAACTAACAGAAAATTTAACGGATGGTTGTACTTGTCCACAATTTCAAAAGTTTTGGCTATTTTATTGTATGTCAAATAGATATGGCTATTTTTGTCCACAACTTAAAAGGTTTTGTTATTTTTGGGTATTAATCCTTCATTATAAATATTATTCAACTTGTCTGATGGTTAGTCAAATAATTGCTTTTACGGGTTAACCACAACACAACTGCATCGACCTATTATTCACCCAACACAAAGAGAATGTAAATGAATAACTGGTCATAATTATATCAACTCGTTAATAAGCGAATGAGTTAACTTGAAGCCGATATTCACCCAATTTCCAACCTACCCAATCCAATCCAATCCAGCATATCAGTTGAGTGAACAAGGGAAATACCACTTGCAAAGCTCTTTTGTCGAGTGCACGATGATGACTGGACTCGAGGAAGATGCACATGCTAATAGGAGTGTTCAAATGGTTGCCATGGTAATTACCAAATCAAACAAGCCAAAATTCTATTAACCATGTAATACAATATCATAATCAAACCGTCAAAACTAATATAACAACCAAATTAACCAAACTAAAGTTTAATCGGTTTGGTTAATTGGTTAACCAAATTAACCAATATAACATCACATTATCATTAAGTATAATTTTTTCCGGTTAATATATCAATTCACAATTTTTATGATGAATAAAACATTACATTGAACACATACAAAAATACATGCAATTATTTTACAGTCAATAGAAGTATTCACCTAACAAAAATATATATCAATAGTATGGGTAATTAGATGATGTGATTGTGTGAATTGAATTAGTCTCTTAGCAATTATCATAGGTTGAAAAAGACATTTCTTTCAAGTTTCATCTAATATATTGTAAGAGTTTTATCTAAATTGAGTGTTCATATATGATGGTCTACACTCACAAATATGAACATACAGTATATGAACAATATTGAGCTTTATTGTTAATGAGCCTAAAAGGAAAGAATGTTTGGTTCTTGAGTGGTTATGTCAAATATTAAGTATGTGTATATAATATATATTAGGTATATCGATAATTACTTAACTAGTTAATTTGGTTTGATTGGTTAGTAGTGTCTGAAACCAAACCACCTAAACCAAACGAGCTAAAAATTTTAACCAAACCAATTATCCAAATTGACCAAATCATATTAGCCAAATTCTACCGATTAAAATAGTTAGGGTATACCTATGGTGACATGCATATCACCGTAACTTGTTACTTTTAGGTCGACCTCATATAAGATTAGGTCGACCTAATCTGTACTTTTAGGTCGACCTCATATAGGAGGTCGACCTAATATACTGTTTCAGTTTTGTGAGGTTCCCGAATACACTAATGTGGGCACCCTAATGACTTATCACGGTCGACCTTTAAAATGTAGTGGTCGACCATTTGTAATTTAAGTTGTCATTGTTGGTCGACCACAATAAAACATCAGTCGCCCTTTTCATTGGCGTAAGAAGCAAAATGGTCGACCGTAAAGGTATATAAATCGACCACTTAATGGCGATCATTAACAAAATGGTCGACCATTTGCAGAAAGAGGTCGACCAGATAGAAGAGAAGTGTTGTATCTATTTATCCATCATCATTTACGTAAACTAAAGATCAAGTGTTGGTTTCGCGGTCGACCAAATCCGGTACGAGGTCGACCGAATACAAGAAAATCAACTTATGCCTTGCGCCTTTTTTGCTTATGTATGTCGATGTGAGTGGTTCTTCTGCTCGTACAAATTACATTTCAAACCAACAGAATCAGTCATAAATAATGATAACAAGGACTCATAACTTCCACGTGGTCGACCTCTTGAATCACGTACAACAGCAACCGCAAAGGATCTTCTTCACAAAAGCTCTAATCGTAAAAAAAAACCTAATCTAGAGTTTCGATGGCGGTGAAGGTGACATATATACGTATTTATAGATATTTAGGACGAGAATTGGTCGAATTAAGTGCTAGATAAGTTAGGGTTACCTTTCTGGTGTTGGAATCCTTATCCAATACGGATACGCTGTGCATGCGGTCGACCTCGTACTTATGCGGTCGACCTCAATTAATCCAAATGATCGGCCTATGAGGTATTTGGGTTGACCTTTCATTCTGTTCGCTTCCCAAAGAGGTCGACCATTTGTTATAAAAGGTCAATCGCGTCGTTGAACCTCACAAAATTGAAACGTGGCATATTAGGTCGACCTAAAAGTACAGATTAGGTCGACCTAATCCTATGAGGTCGACCTAAAAGTGCAAGTTACGGTGACGTGCAAGTTACCATAGCAAAGTCCAAATAGTTATCACGATAATCACACCGTTTGAACACTCTAATTTTTTTTTTAACAAAAGATATATATTAATCAATCAAAGAAGATAGTTACATCCTGGAACGCAGCCAGGCCTGGAAATAAAAAACACTCTAATTTACCGTGGAGAAGAAATAGTTAAAAAAAAAATGGACCGCCAAAACTAAAAATAATCATTATATTTTTCTCTTCCGTGTTAAAATACTGTAATTATTAAATCGAAAACAATCCGTCTCCGAAATCTAAACCGAAATCTGGCCCTTTTCCCTTTCCCTTCCGTCCGTCCGTCCGTCGCCAGCCTAGCTTATGCAAATATCCTCCGCTAATCTGTGATTAAGGCAAGAAATTGATTAGAACAATGACACAGATTTCTTTGATAGAGCGAGAAGGAAAGAAAGTAATAAGCAAGTGAGTGGTCTAGTTAGCGTCCGCGCTTCTTCTCCTCCTCTTCCTATCTATATATAGTGAAAGCCATATCGCCTCCCAAGTCTCACAACCCAAATCTCAGACATCACAGAACTCTTCTTCTTCCCGCTAGCTCGCTCGCCCGCCCTTTCTCCCACACCCCACTTTCCAGTCTCTATCACAGGTAATAAAGATTTTAGTTTTAGATCAATTTTGTGCCAGAATTCTGTATCTTTTTGTCGATCGGTTGAGCTTCTCGGTGATCTTTTTGACGGGTTTTTTAAAACCAGCAATGGGTTCTCTTTTCCTTTTTCGAATGTGGGGATTGGATCCTGTGTCTCTTTTTCAATTCCGCATGCATTCTGCTGCAATTTTCAGTTCTGCTTTGGGGTTCTCTGCCTTGCTCTGTCAAATTTTACTGATTCTGGTCCAGGGCCAATGAAACTGTGTGGATTGGTTCAACCAATGGGTGCCTAGGATTTAGTTTTCTTTATCAAAATTTGTTTTATCTTTATAGTGTGGGTGAGATATGACTGGTGTGGTGAGGATTCTTATTCCTAGGATATTGATATTGCTCTGTTTACGACTGTTTGGTTTTGGGTGTTTTGCTGCTATGCGAGTTGGAGATATGAATCAAGTGGCTTCTAACCTTTCCTTTTGTTCAGTCACTATGGGGAGCAACGATGGAACCGGCTATGGGGCATACACATATGAGGCTCTTGAGAGGGAGCCTTACTGGCCATCTGAGAAGCTGAAAATCTCCATCACTGGAGCTGGTGGTTTCATTGCCTCTCACATAGCAAGGCGTTTGAAGAGTGAAGGTCACTACATTATTGCCTCCGACTGGAAGAAGAATGAGCACATGACTGAAGACATGTTCTGTCATGAATTCCATCTTGTGGATCTCAGGGTTATGGATAATTGCTTGAAGGTGACAAATGGTGTTGACCATGTCTTCAACTTGGCTGCTGATATGGGCGGGATGGGATTCATTCAGTCCAATCATTCTGTTATCATGTACAACAATACCATGATCAGCTTCAACATGCTTGAAGCCTCTAGGATCAATGGTGTTAAGAGGTTAGGTCTCGTTTTGCTTAGTTTGGTTACAGCCTCACTATAGGTTGATATTCCTTAGGCGGGGTTTGAAATTTGGGATGATTATTCTGGTTTGTGCAGGTTCTTTTACGCCTCTAGTGCTTGTATTTATCCTGAGTTTAAGCAGCTGGAGACAAATGTGAGCTTGAAGGAATCTGATGCCTGGCCTGCAGAGGTTGGTTTGCTTTTAGTGGTTTAATTTAATGCAGGTATGAAACCGTTTGACTTCACGTTTGGTTGTGAAATCATGAAATTCTTTTTCAAATTTTGTTCTTCAGCCTCAAGATGCTTATGGCTTGGAGAAGCTCGCAACAGAGGAGCTGTGCAAGCACTACACTAAGGACTTTGGGATTGAATGTCGGGTTGGAAGATTCCACAACATCTATGGTCCTTTCGGAACATGGAAAGGTGAGGCATGGAAACGGCAATTGTTGTAACTTAATCATCTGCTTCTAGCTTTTCACTAATGCGTGGATTTGATTGTCTTTGATAATAGGTGGCAGGGAAAAGGCACCAGCTGCCTTCTGCAGAAAGGCGCTTACAGCTACTGATAAGTTCGAGATGTGGGGAGATGGTCTCCAAACACGATCCTTCACCTTCATTGATGAATGTGTGGAGGGTGTGCTCAGGTAAATACCCCAAAATCTCTTTTAGGTATTCGAGAATGTGAAATTTGCATTAGCATGCCAATGAACAAATGTTTTGTTTTGTTTCTGTCAACACTTTTGATGTATTTTGGAATTGCACTTGCACAAATGCATAAAGAATGATTCAATCTCGTTATACATGGGGATAGGAAGTATTTGAAAAATGCACTTTAGAAAAGTGGATCATGCCTGCCTCCTCCCCCCACTTTTCTGGGTCAATTTCTGCACGAAACCTCTGAACAACGAGGGACCTGCAATATCTGTTAACATGAACTCTTTTAACGCCTTAGGTTGACCAAGTCTGACTTCCGGGAGCCAGTGAACATTGGGAGTGATGAGATGGTGAGCATGAATGAGATGGCCGAGATTGTTCTTGGTTTTGGGGACAGGAAGCTCCCTATCCATCACATCCCAGGTCCAGAAGGTGTTCGTGGTCGTAATTCTGACAACACATTGATCAAGGAAAAGCTTGGCTGGGCTCCAACAATGAGGCTGAAGGTACATGATGACTACTACTATGACTACCCTGAATTGGAGTTCCTTTTTGAAGTCTTAATAACTTCTTTTTTTTTCTATGGTCGTGACTCTTGACTGTTGTGCATTGTAGGATGGCCTGAGATTCACCTACTCGTGGATCAAGGAACAGATTGAGAAAGAGAAGGCTCAGGGTATCGACTTGGCCGTCTATGGATCATCCAAAGTGGTTGGAACTCAAGCTCCGGTTCAGTTGGGCTCTCTCCGTGCTGCTGATGGCAAGGAATGAAGCCAGAGTTCTAAAAGCTTGAGTTGAAGTTGCTCTTTTGGAAGGATTTGGCTTATAGATCTTGTGGTAGAAAAGTTGGGATAGACTTGTGGAATGGTAGGATGTGGAGAGGTTGCTTTGGAATAACTGGCAAATTAGATTGAATTATTATGTTGTGTCCATTTTAATTTTCAGTCATGTTGGTATGTGTTGAGGGGCAGGGGTGGTTTTGCTGCTTACTGTATCATCCATCATCCTGTGTAGGCTTTCCATACCAGATATATGCAGTGGTAATGTATTAGAGTGGCCACCGTTTAGCATTTTGATTATCTGATAAACTTATAATAATCTTGATATCCTTGTTTTCTTTGAATGAAATTTTTTGGGCCTTGTGTTTTCTTCTTTCAAGATTGGCTGCTGTTTGTATGGAGGAGTTCTGTTGTTTGTGATCATGATAACTGTCAATGCTTCCAAAGGTGATGATATAAATTGCTGCTGTCTGTGTTGGAGACTTGGAGCTCTTTAAAGTGAAATTGGGATGGTCCAAAGAAAAGTGTCCCGCCTTTTCCAAAAGGCCAAAAATTGATGTAAAGGGAAACTAAAAGGAAAAAGGAACCACTGTCAAAAAAAAAAAAAAAACGATTTTTTCCCTTGGATTTGCTAGGGGCCATTTTGTTTTAATTCCTTTCTTCAACTTTATGGATATTCCATTGTAGATATCCGAAGCCAAGGGATCAGATCTTCCATAGTTCCTCCTGTGCTATTAAGCTGTTCTTCTGGATATTTTTTTCTAACTACACACGTGTTTATTAAAATTTCCAAAAATACAATAATTTTTTAAAATTCGCAAACTGCTCATGCTTTGGGATACATTGCTTCGTCAAAAGCGATAAGTGTCTGATATAAAAATATCAATCAATGGAATTTTTTATTATTTATTTTGCATAAATTTTCAAGATCTTCGCAACTAAAAACTATCGAAAATAGTATGTTCGACTTTTGGCTCCAAATAAGGCCTAAAACCGCCATTGAAGGACCACAGCTATCGCTGAGGTGGACCACTACGTATTCACCGCCATAGAAGGACACAGTGAAAAAGCTGCACAAGACTTGCTGATGTACGACGCGTTGAAGCGTCGGATCTGGGAGAAAAACCTAAATTCGCGCCTCACCGCATCCGACGAGCGCGGTTAACGGGTTGGTAGAAGGCAATTATAACCACTTTTATAAACAACCTAAAAGGTTGGTAGAAGTCAAAGGTCTTTCAAACTTACAGCTAAAACGAGTCACATCTCTTAACAAGGTAGATACCATGTGTTTAACTGAACAAATTAGGGTTATTAGAATTCGAATAGAAGACCTCTCGATCACAGAAGGCTCTGGTACCATGTCAAGAACAAATTGCTACTCGAGTTGTTGGAAGAAATTCAATTATACACCTTCTCAAAAGAAAGTCACCATCCTTCCTAACAAAATCAAAGCCATCATATATGAGCTTGAAGTTTGTAAAGATCCGGACATCATGTATTTAACAGAACATGTGAGAGTAATCGGAATTCAAACAAAAAACTCTAATATCATATCAAAAACAAATCGATCTCAATAGCTCAAATTATTTAATAAAATTTAATTATGTATCATATACTATTTACTGATATTATTCTGGGTCATAAACAGCCTGTACTAAGATCCGTGTATATTCCGCTTACTTGCATAATTATTGAGGTTGTCAGAATATTTATGATGAATTGCTTCCGCACCTCGACCCAGAGATTCACCAGATAGGAAAAACCATGTCAGAATTTTTTTGATGAAGCCAAAACGAAACAACCAACTTACTTGCGTGTTAGTTGTTTAATCACATTTCGTACAGTTAGTTGCCATCATTTGTCCAATAAGATAATAACAAATTTGGTTGGCGAAAAGGGTAGGCCAGCGGGGCTTCGACTCAAACCAGTGGCTCAAAAGGATCTGGATAGTGGGTGGATTGGGTTGGCGTCTGACGTGGGTGCTACGGCCCAAGTTTGGAACCTTCATAAGCTAAGGGGCTAACTTTCACTCACAAGTCTGTTACGTGGTTTTCTCCGGAAGAAATCTCTTCACAACTTACGTCGTAATAATCGAACGATAAACGTAAGAAAAAGATTTAGAATGAAGAGAAATGAGACGAAGAAAATAAACTAAAAACTACTAATGAATTCCAATCTTCAAAGTGGTATTAAACTGGAACTTGAGTACATATTTGTAGAATGTAGATGAGGAAAGCTCATAATCTCGGTCCTTCTTTACCAAGGCCGGCGGGCCCCTTTTTCTTTTTCCTACCCAAAACATAAAACTTATCGCACAAGAAAATAATAAATAAATCCTAAACAAATAGCACTAACTAAATCCAAGTGATACTTAGAACCATGAAACAATAATAAAGACTAACAATATAAAATACTCTAATAGAAAGATACGCAAGTCTAAAAAATACCCCATTATTAGGATGACTTGATTCTTGTAACAAAATCACAAATCCTTAATAAGGATAGAGCAGTCGTAGTAAAGGCCATCTTGTGGACCTGGAATGGAACACTAAGCCACAGCTGGTTTGAAAGCTACTTCCTTCGTACAGATTGAGCTTCATTCCGCTTCTCTATGTTCATATCATGAGTTTAGAGTAGTATCAGTCTTTTAGATGAGAATATTTCGGGCCTTATGTGCAATGTAGTAAAAAGCGCGATTATTTCTGGATGCGGGAAATGGATAAAATCGTAATGCGTAGAATCAAAGCGTAAAAAAGTAAGTGTTTGACGCATACTGTCAAATAGCTAATAATGTGTTAAATACGACATAACTATGTAAAATATGAGTGCACAGAATTTAGATAAGTTAGATAAGTTGATAAAATATTTGTCATTCATGTACAAAGCACAGAATTCTAAAGTGAGATTGTGACTGCATTTCTTATGTGTATGGTCTTGCTCGACATGTAAGGGGTTTGTAAGGGGGCTTTTGGGTGTTAGTGTTTACATTTGTTATGTTAGCTTGTGTTAGTATATTTACATATGTAGTAAGATAGCATGGCCGATTCGGGTTAGTAGCTAGCTTGTGGATCCATCGGCAAACATTTTGCCAGACAATCGGGAGAGGATTTTGGAGCCGCCGCATTTGCCCGCGGTCACATCTCTCTAGCAGTCATGACTGCACCGGAGCCACCAACGATTGTGTTGCCACTAACGCGACTCGTGACTCCGACCTTGTCTTCGTACCTCGGCGTCAGTGCATGGCTTTTCAAACTCAGCGACTTTCTGGATCGCAACGATCGTGGCAGCTGGCGAGGGTAGTGCATGTAGATTAAAACCCGCAGCTCAACCAAGTCAGAACCGAGTACACAGGCACAGGTTCAAACTACCATCCATCCTGAAAACATAGGGAAACTCTAGAAAGCCATGGAGATGAGCAAGTAATTGAAATTTCCAACTGACTGGAAATATGATTAAATCATGTTTAATGTACGACGCCAATTTGAAACTAGGGTCCTCAGAAGTCAGAACAGTCCTCAACGCATCTCTATACGTATAAAGATAAAATGGAACCCCATGGTAAAAGGGCTGGTTTTACAATCTCTGTGATATGATGTCCCTGTTTCACTTGTAACATCTAGTGGCTACATAACAGGATTCAAGTTTGGCTTTCTTAAAGATTCTTAGCTCTTAAATATGATGCAATAAACTGCACAAACTACATCACAACTAAGCTGATCAGATGTCAGAGTACATGGGGCTGGCTTCGAGCTGCTCCGCGAGTTTCTCGAGTACTTCCTTCACAAGCTCTCTGAGCTTGTCATCTTCATCGGCAGCAAATTTGCTGTCACCCACCTCAGCAAACACTGCATCATAAACGAGGGTCACTGCCTCGTTAGCTTCTGATGATGGCAAGCCAACCTCTTTTGCATGTTTATCAAGGAAACTGGTGATCATTTCCTTGCTGTTTAGATTGTCCCCTGCTTTGAGCTTCTCGTCTATAACTTTTGCCAAGATGGTATTCAACTGTTCTTCATCGGCCAGCAGCTGCAAAAGGTTGAGACAAGGATCATGAGATGATGAAGAGTTCGAAGGATTGCTTATTTATTAGAACATATAGGCCAACCGACCAGAACTCCAGCATTGGTTAGTTGGGTTGATGTCCAGAAAGCATATTTCTCGGACACTAGGGGATTATTTGGATGTACGATTTAGCCCTATGTATTTGAGCACAGAATCCATGAGTAGAGGGTTTCTTCCGAAACCTTATTTGGTAGGTCAAAAAGAGTATCAACTCCATGTAGGATTCACCTCATGCTTTTGAGTATAAAATGAGTAGAAGGTTCCTTCTGAAACCATGTTTGGTGAAGCAAAAATATAGTATCAAGTCCATGCAGTGGGAACTTCATTTGCATTTTAAAGTCACTATATCTTACTAAAATCACACATTACAAACAAACAAAATTGAAACAAAAAATGCAGCAATTACTTTTAAAATCCAGGGATTTTGCGAAATCCAACATTTTTCAAATCCTGCATCGAAAATGACCCTCAAGTTTCTTGTTATATATAGAGTGAAGAGAGAGCGGAAAAACAGAATCACCAAATCCTGACAGATAAACAAACATGCAACAAGCAGAAATTCAACAACAAACACGAGCTGAAAACCAGCTAATACATCAGTACATAAAGGGTCATATTGATAAATATTCAAAAAGTAACCTACCTTTCTAAGTTTGGATCCATTGAGTATCTGAGTGTTATGGACAACCACAACATTCCTTTTCAGCAATGCATCAGCAACTTCTTGCAGGATAGGCTGAAGTAACTCAGCAAATTGAGACTGACCCAACTCTCCCTCTTCCTCAACTCCATGTTTCTTTAAGATGTCATTTACAACAGGAAAATCTGCTCCATCACACAATTATCTGTCAGTTTCAAGAAACTAGAAGCATTGTATAGTCTTAAGCTTAACAGCAAAGTAGAACATGATGACAATGGTAGCAAGAAAGTTCCACTCTTTCAAATCGATGAAGAGCGAAGGAAATTGCAGCACGACCACAAACAAGATACATCAAAGGGTTTCACCATGGGTTTCCTTCTTAGACATCATAGTCAACATTTGGGTAAACCTAGAGGCAGGGTAATACGATTCCTAAACCAGATTCTTTAGCACTTGAAGAGAGCCGGAGCCTTCATCGTGATACACATCCAATCCTTCAACTTTAAGCCAGGACCTTTACTTAGTGCCTAAGGAAGAAGGCCACTACTCCTACCACATTAGATCCACGTTCGCATACGATTCAAGGACACACACAAGGGGGATTCTTCACAGCAGATCAATCCAATCAACAACTAAGTCAACCCTTTTCTCCACAGGGCAAGTCAAAAGTTCGTTCAACAAAGGCAAAAGTGGAAGGGAAGACCTTTTTACCTTCAAAAGGAGGGATTCCAGTTTCAACTCCCATACGAAGAAGCGCATTCCTGATCTCGATCTTCTTGATCTTGCCCTTATCCTCGGAATCCAAATCAGTGAACAAATTCTCCGCTAACATGGCGAAATCGTCTTCGTCCTCCAGAAACACCCGCAGCGTGCTCCCGTCCAGGATCGAAATCACCATCGGGTTCTCTGTTCGAATACACAAAAAGTTGCATTTCGCAAAAATAATTATAACCAACAGCTGAAGAAAATAAAAATGTTTTGGGGGTAGTGAGGAGGGTTTTAATTTGAACCTCTGAGCTCATCGGCGATGGCGGCGAGGTACTCGTCGAGTTTGGCCGTGGCACCTTCGCGGGTGAGCTCCTGGCTGCGGAAGGCAGCGGGATCATCGACGTTGAGGCGACTGAGAGCGGCGGACTTGAGAGCGGGAGGCAATGGGAGGTCGAAGAGTGAGTTTGAGGCGGCGGATTCGGCTAAATCGAGGACTTGGGCACCGGTGAGCGCGGCGGCGGAGTCCGGGATGGAGAGCCGCAAGGATCGGAGGTGGGTTCCGTCGAGAACGGTCATACCTCCGTCAGACATTGTCAAAAATGGACGGAGAGAAGGAGAGACTTTGGAGAGGTTTTTGGAAGGAGGAGAGAAATGAGAGACTTAACTTCAGAAATGGGATGGAACTGGTCTTCTTTTCTTTGCCCACGAGGTCACGACAATTAAGAGCATTAGGCTTTGGTCGAAGCTCTTTAAAATGTGCCTTCGGCTCCGTTTTTCCTTACCATGGATTTTGTATGCTGTAAAAGTAAAATGCATCATTTTATTTTATTTTGTGCACATATTGGAAAAATTCACTTATTTGGTCATAATTATCGACTTGCTAACAATAATAATCAATTTCTCCGAAATATACTAATGTTCAATTTCATTCAAAATTTTAACGGAATCATTTTAGATGTCGTCTGGACTAACATTTTGCTGACTCGACGACACTTAATAAAAAAAATTGTCTCGTCGAATTAACTAAGTTCACTTGCATAACCATAACTATCGACTTTGTAGACAATAATAGCAAATTTCTCATGAATACACAAAATGTCTAGATTTTGGATACATGTTTCATAAATGTAGCTATTTTTGTTAAAATTTTAACATCATTAGAGATTTCATCAGTTATATTTACAAGACGTTGACGAGGATGCCACCTTGACACAACGTCAATGATAACTCCACTTGCCATGCAACGTGGATGCCATATCATATTTTAACTAAAAAATATTTTTATAAATTCCTTTTTATCCTTCCTATTCTTCTTCTAGCCCTACTATCTTCCTTTTTGAGTCCCTGATCAGCCCGCATAGGTTCGTGATACTGGATTCTCCGACATTTTTTTGGCAAACACACTTCCCCATCGTAGTCATTGCTAGTGGAAGAAGCTGGGATTCCGGTGTTGGTGTTGGTCGGCCAGGGCAGTTTTGCCCTCTCTCTAACTTGTGGAATTTCTTCTGCGGGCAATTAGAGGCTTAGCCAAACCAACGAAGAAATTCCACGGCAGGTCCGACCGTTGCTCAGGTGCCGTAGGCCCAAGACCGAGGGAATCTTCTAGAAGATGCTTACTTCGTCCCCAAGTAAGAGAATCCAAGTTCAAGCGGTGCAAGGAAGCTTGAGGCCATGATTTAGAGGAAACATCATAGGTTACCCCTCTTTCTTGTACTATAAACAAGAGCTTAACCTTTAGTTTTCAGACACTCTTACTACACACATGAAAATCAGTCGAAGTTCCATCGGAGTTGAATGGGAATGCCTTCATCATCGAAGCCCGCATCATCTTTGGTGATGTCTTCTCCATCTGTTATGGCTAACTAAGCTTGTATTGTTTAGTGATGTGAATTATACGATGCTTGACGCATATTTATTCTATGACATAATGAGATGCTATTATAATTAGATGCTTATATCATCTTATGCTTCAGCTACTAATGCTTTAATTATCTTATTCTTTTATCTTGTATTGTATGTTACTATAGTTGTTGCTTATCAAATCATTATATGTTGCATGGGAAACTCAATCTATGTGATATGCATATATTTTTAAGTGTGTAGGAAAAGAAATGCACAGCCCTTCATACAGAATGATATAGATGCTCGATACCCTAGATCATCAACACCATTGACCATTGATATGTGATAACACCCAAAATGATGTTATTTAGCCTTCATTTATTAGTTGTTTTATTGTCATTTTGAGCATGATTCGATTTATAAAATGTCATTTGTAGTCTAGATTGCTTTCTTTTGTTATATCATGTTATTCTAGGTTGCATTTGACGTTATAAGCGAAAAAGGGGAGAGAATAAGGCTAATGTGTAGAAAAGGGAGCAAAAAATGGAGTTCGCTGTAGAAGGAGCAAATATCACGACCGAAAGAGCCAAGATAAAACCTTCAGTGCCAAGATCACGACCTCGAAGTGGGGACATGAACTAAAGCACCAAGATCGCGCCCTCTAGTGTTAAGATCACGACCACAAACTCTGGAGCGAAGGGCGCGAACTTCAAGAGTAGCCACCAAGGGAGGATCAGAGAGTCTCGACAGTAGACTCGCGGTTCTCTTTATTCGTGCTCGCGATAAAGATCATGACTGTGACATCTCGGATCGCGACCGTGATGTCAGGCCGCGAATTCCACATCCAATAAGGCGTAAATGGTGACCCTCAAGATCGCAGCCTCTCCCCCAAAGATCATCACCACGACTTTATGCCTCTTGCACTTGACTTGCATGCTTTCTCAGAATTCTATAATCCTCAAGCTCGCAACCTCTCCCACAAAGATCATGGATGCGATCTTCTGCCTCGTGCTCGTGAACTTACCTGTATCTGCAGAATTCTTTAAATAGGGGAATACTTCCCTTGAGCAGATTGGATTTTAGCATATTTTTTATTCTAGAGTAAGGTTAGAGAGAGAAGTAGATGCTTGGAGAAGAAGAGAAGGTGAGCTTTGGAGGATTGCCAGCATATGTGGAACATTCTTCATGTTTTCTTCCCATCTTTGTATGTCTCTTCCCCCCCCCCCCCCCCTTTCTTTTCATAGGGGTAATCCCTCTAGGTACTTTGGGGCCTAGACCCCCAAACCCTAGATTTAGGTTTTGAATGTAGATGTATATGTGTTAGGGTTTATGTATGAATATATTTGTTTTAATGAGTATATGTATGGATTATGCTTGGGTATGTCTCCCAACTCGTCCTTACTAGCCTACTGATAACACTGTATTTGTTTTCCCCATCATTTCTTCATCGTTTGAGCTTGCTTTATCGCTCTCGTGACCTAATTTGCGCTAGGTTGTGTTGGTTTATGATGTTTCAGGTCATAGTAAGTGAATGAGTGCGAAACAACGAGTTTTGGGATGTTTTACCACTGCATCTTCAATAAATCTGAATGTTGCTCATTTGGAGCGTTGAATGAGGGAAGGAAATCCCAAATATCTACCCCGAGTTTTAATGTCTAGTAACATTGAATAGTGTGTTTGATAATGATGTATTTGCACATATTTGCGCCCTTGTTTCTTATCCATTTGCGGCTCGTAGTCGTGTGTCTTTGGCCTATTTTACGCTCGTTGTGCTCTTTTGTCACATTTCAGGTCTCATACATCAAAGGAAGGGCTAGACACGAGTTTCGAGTCATTTGGAGGTCATTTGGTGAAGTTGGAGCAAAACACGGGCAGACTACCCTAAACACACGGCCGTGTTCACTAAGGGGCACGCCAGTGCTTTTTAGTGCGCGAGTTGAATCGTTGCAAGGGGAAACCACCGGCGCCATTGACCAAAAGCACAGTCGTGTACCCTGCCAGTGTTTTTAATGCCGAGAGCTTGTTGGTGACTGCTGCTGAAGAATGCAAAACACGGGCAGTTCTAGAGCACGACCGTGTTCCCCCTTGGGCACGATCGTGTTTTCCTTGGAATGGGCGTGTTTCTCCCACGTGATGAGAAGAACACGGGCGGACAAAGTTGGACACGACCATGACCACGACCGTGTTTTGGTCTGTCTCGGGATAAACTGGCAGTTTCGACCCAAAAGAGGAGGATTCGACTTTTTGAGCAAAAAACAGAGTTCTAGAGAGAGAAAGTGCAAAGAACAAACCCTATGAGCTATTTGGAGTGGATTTCTCACCATTGAAGCCCAGATTGCATCCTCGGGAGTGAAGATTGACATCATAGAGAAGATTATTCTCATCTTTATAAGTATGACTGCTTTGATTTCTGTTTTCCCCTCTCTCTCTCTCTATCAAGTAGACCTTTCTCTCACTTGGGTATTAAGAACCCTAATTCCATGCGTTAGGGATTTGAATTGTAATGACTTTTGGATTGATATAATGTTTGATTATAATCTATTGAGGTGTGTTTATTGAGTAAATTGAATCCTGATCAACTTCTCTTGATTTCTGCATCAACCTGTGATAGATAGAATCATATTAGGTTGTTAGAGCTTCTTCAATCTGTGATAGATAGAATCATATTAGGTTGTTAGAGCTTCTTCAATCGGTAATAGTGAATTGATTATACGAGAGTACTTAGTCGATTCACTGCTTTGTACTGGAATCCAATTCCAGTAGTGGAGTTCTGTGTTAATTGCCTTAGATTTCTATCCCAGTGAAGACTAGTCGTCTGCCGGTTAGTATGTCTAAGAGGGCTTGGTCAGCTTAAGAGATTCCAAACTACTGTCGGATCTTCCGCAGTTTAATCAATAGTAAATCAACCAAAGGAAATTATAACTTGAACCTAACTAAGGAGCTAGGAGGACTCATTCCCGAGTGACTCTTCTCTTGCTTCATGAAACTGGACAATTTACTGCTATCTTTCTGCTTTACTTTGAACTCACCTACATTCACTTAGTCCACTAGATAATAGATAATCACGGAGTAGGCAGTACATCTAGGTCCTGGGTTGACATTTATTACTTGATTCCACTATACTGCATTTCCATTCCGCGATTACACTTGGTCGCAGTTTGGTGTTGTGTCATAGCGTGTCAGTGTTATATTTTGTCCGTTAAAAACTTAAACAGTATAAAATATAATGATTTTTGTTTCTTATCTAGGTTAGATAAGTTAGGGTATGCCTATGATGACTTGCAAGTCACCGTAACATGGAGAAAACGATCGACCTCCTCTGGTAAGTGGTCGACCACTTTTCAAAAAAATGGTCTACCACTTCCACCAAGTGGTTGACCTGATGACACACTTACCTTCAAATGGTCGACCTATTCCATCAAAAGGTCGACAACGTTTCAAGAAAATGGTCTACCTCTTCCACCGAAGAGGTCAAGCACTTGAAGGTAAGTGCACCATTAGGTCGACCACTTGGTGAAAGTGGTAGACCATTTTCTTGAAAAGTGGCCGACCACTTGATAGAATAGTTCAACTATTTGAAGACTTTTCAAGAAAATGGTTTACCATTTACACCAAATGGTCTACCAGTTGAGACAAATGGTCTTCCTCTTCCGGCAATGGGTCGACCTGATAACACACTTATCTTCAAATTATACCCGCTTATAGGATGAGGTAGACCGCTTCCGCCAAGAGAGTATACTGATTCCGCAAAATGGTTTACGTACCTCTTCAGGCGAAGAATCTTCGCTTTCGCGAACGGTCACCCTAAGGACAAAGTTATCTTATACTTGCATTAAGAAAACAATGGACAATATGAGACTTACAATAGGAACTTATTTTGTAGTAATGCAACGTCCTATCACTTGTGGGCAACCAAATTCCTACGCAGATTATAGGCCAAGACAAAAGAAACAACACCCTTTTTAACACTTTTAGAATAAAAATTCACAAGAGCAAGATGATATATGAGATTTATGGACTTTGAAGATATGACACAATTGTATAACAATTATACTCTACTTTTTGAGCATCTTCATAAGAACAATAATTGTAAAAAAAATTCATAACAACAATAGCTACAAAGTTGATCCATCGCAAGAAAACTATATGATAAAAACAAGCAAACTTAGAATTTGAAGGAATGATGAAAGTCATTATAGAATAAGTCAAATATAAGAAATAAATATGCAGAACATTTTTCATATCTATGGGAGAACAATCACACAAGAAACTTGTCATATATGTTCTAGCTTTTGTACTAATTTTAACTCTCTTACTAGCAAACATATATATTATTATCGGTTGTTGAAAGTGGTGGACCGCTTGGTGGAAATTGTAGACCGTTTTTTTTTTGTAAAGTGGTCGACTTTTTAGTAGAAGAGGTCGACCATTTGTTGAACATTGCATAATGAAAAATAGTACATCTGGTCGACCATTTCAGTAAATAGGTCGACCATTTTGCAAATTACCATAACAAAGTTCAATAAGATAATGGTTGGCAAGCATTTTTTACCGACTACAGTATTTAGAGGGATTTACTTTCACTGTAAAACTCACTTTACTATTTCTATTAATATTAATATTAAAAATATTGTAGTTCGTGAATATCAAGTCACTAAGACATTTGATGCCTATTATTCAAAATTTAATATAAATCTTATATCATCACCACAATTAATTTTTTATTCTCTTCCTCCATGCCTTTTTTTACGAAGATAATCATATATTGATAAAAAAAAAAGATAATTACACCCTTGAGCGCAACTAGGCCAAATAATCAAAATAACGACTCATAGCCGGGTACAAATGAAGGGCCTTCTTAGCCACCAAATGGGCTACCCTATTATTACTCCTACCTACAAATCATACAATGAGCCCCCTGTTAAGCGCTAAACATTCCACCACCTCCACCAGCAAGGCGTCAATCCGACTATCACTTGTGATCCCTAGATTGATCTTATCAATAATAACCTTGGCATTACCTTCCAGTTGCACCGCCAAAAAGCCAGACAAAATGCACCAAGAAATAGCTTCCCGATTCGTGAGCATTTTGGCAACTAGAGGATCATCAATCCCATCAAACCGAACACCTTTAGCCAATATGACCCTCCCTCCACTGTCCAACATAACAATACCTCCTGCCGAATGAGAGCCTTGCTTAGTCGCCCCATCCCACCTACAGATTAGCCCACTCAGGGGAGCACCCCTTCTAGTGGCGCAGGGGAGACAGAAAATCTACTCGTCTCATCTATCGGAAAGTTCAACCATTCCTGAAGCTGTTGCTGGTATTGCCTCATTAAAGCTGGGAACCCAAAGTACTTGCCCTAAAAGACAACCCAGTTGCGAGACCGCCAGATCCTCCACAGTACTGCAACCACAGCCATAACCAATGGGGGCTGGTGAATGATAAGCAAAAGCCGCTTCAGGAAAAGCGGGAAGGTATGACGAGGAAGTCCTTGTCCAAGGTATTCTAAACCTGCAGTCCCATAACTCCCTAGCCACCGGACACTCAAGAAACAAGTGCTCCATCGTCTCGGCATCCGCCCAGCAAACTGGCACCTAGTGTGGACTTGGACATCTTTTCCAGCAGTGCTTCCGTCGTGGGGAGGATCCGATTGAAAATCTGCCAGAGGAACACCTTCAACTTAGGGGGGATATTAACGTCCCACAATCGGATCCAGTTTCACCTATCAATCCAATTGGTTGAGGCCCGCCAACGCCCATCCTTTTTACTTTGGTTAACAGTCAGGTGATAGGCTGGGTCGGACCACTGACTAAGCTTTGAATCACACCACCGCCCCCCATCCTGGCATATAACCTCGGCAACACACAAATTCCCATCCGCAGGTAACACTTGGGGGTTGTACGTAGGGGCAATGGCATGGAGCTGAGGCACCCAACTCGAGTCCAGAAACGGAGCATACCTGCCATTACCAATTTGCCAACGGAGGCCTTGCACCAATAATTGACGCCCAAACAGGATACTTTACCACCCCCAGGAGGGGCGAGAACGCGCAGTAGCCTCCAAGAATCTCGTCTTGGGGAAATACTTCCCCTTATATACCTGGGCTAACAGCGAGGTCGGATCGTTAAGGATTCGACAGCCAATCTTAGCAAGAAGTGCATGATTGAAATGCTCAAAGCGCCTAAATCCCATCCCACCCTCATGTTTACTCCGACACATGTTCCGCCAAGACATCAAGTGAATCTTCGAATGGTCATCCTCCACACCCCACCAAAATCTTGCCACATGTTTATCCAGGAGGCGACAGCGACAGAGGTAGCTTAAAACAAGACATGACATATAAGGGTAAGGCTAGAGCAAATGACTTGATCAGAGTCTCCTTCGCCGCCCAAGACAGAGTTTGTTGTTTCCATCCCCGAAGCCGAGCAAGCAGTCTTTCCTCCAGGTACCGAAATGTAGCCATTTTGGACTTGGCTATAAGGGTAGGGAGGACCAGATATTTGTCATGGACACCCACCGCCCCCACCCCCAGAATCTGGGCAAGAAATTCCTGATCCAGAAGCGCTATATTCTTACTAAAACAAACCGCCGATTTAGCCAGATTAACGCGCTGGCCACTCAGTTCCTCGTACTCATTTAACACCGTGATCAAGTTCTCACATTCTTGCCGGGTACCCCTTAGGAATAAGTAAGAATCATCCGCAAAAACAGATGTGAGATACGAGGACACCGAGGGGAAACTTTGACCCCTTCCAAATTCCCTTCGAGAATAGCCTTCCGAAGCAAGGCTACAAATCCCTCCGTGCAAAGCACAAACAGAAGGGGAGAGAGAGGATCACCCTGCTTGAGCCCTCTGGACGGAGAGAAGAAACCTAAGGGTGAGCCATTCATGAGCACAGAGAAAGATGTCGATCTAAGGCACTCTTGAATCCAACCCCTCCAGGTTGAGCTAAAATCCAACTTCTCAAGAATCACGAGCAAAAAAGGTCATTCAACTCTGTCATAGGCCTTTTCCATGTCAACCTTTAGAGCCATGTACCCTTTCTTGCCTCGATTCTTTATTTTCAAGTAGTGCATTAACTCGTGCCCTAGAGGACATTCTCAATTATTTGCCGATCGCGAATGAAAGCATTCTGGCCCTCTGAAACAATCTGAGGAAGGAAACCAGCTAGCCTTTCAGCCATAATTTTAGTGATAATTTTGTAAACAAACTGGCAAAGACTAATGGGGCGGAGCTGCTTCATGGTCTCAACATTATCAACCTTCGGGATCAAAGTCAGCCAGGTATGATTAAAGCTGCGGAGCAATCTGCTAGTCGAAAAGAACGAGCAGACCGCCGCAATCACCGACTCACCCACAATATCCCAGAATGCTTTAAAATTTTTTCCGGTGAAGCCATCCGACCCAGGTGCCCATTTCAATCCCATGGAGAAACCCGTCTTTCGGACCTCGCTGGGAAGGACCTCGGCAGTGAGGCTAGCATTCATAACATCAGTAACACGCTATGCTATGAGAAGATCAGCTACCCCATTAGTCATATCAAGCACCTGATTTTCAGAAGTAAAGAGAGTTTGGTAAAAATCCGTGGCCACATCAGCCTTCCCTCTCTCATCCGTGATCCATTCCCCCGCATTATTATGGAGGCCAGCCACAAAATTCTGTTTTCCACGAGCCCTAGTGACCGTATGAAAGTACGAATGAATTCTTGTCACCCTTCTTAAGCCACTGGACCCTCGATTTTTGCTTCATGGCTACACCATTTAAAACAATGTTATCGAGCTAGAGCTAATTAACATCTCCTATAAACATTAACTAAACTAAGCCAACTAAATTATTAAAATTAACTTAGTAATAGCAAACAAAACGACATGGACTTGGACTGAACTTGATTTAGATATCTTCATGATGAAGCAGGACACCTTTTTACATCCCGTGAAAGTTGAAACCAAGTCCTCCTTGCTCCTTGTCAAATTACTAAAGAAAAAAACAATAATAACTTGATCCCAAAAAATTAAATTACAATCATCAAACCATCTGAACGGACCTCGACGCATCAGCGTCGTACAACGAGTTGGTATACCTCCGCCCTTGCCCGTCGTCGTACGGCGACTTCTCCTCGCTCACCGTCGCCATCGAGTTCTCATACCTCCTACCGCCGCCGTACCCGGCCACAAACTCCACCGGCAGCCCGCTCTTCGGGTTGAACGAGTACACATAGCTTTGGTCCTCCTGATTATCCTTGCCCCCGTACGCCGCTGGCCCCACATCCTTGGAGTTCTCGAAGCTTCTCGAAACATAATTCTCGTACGGCGAGCCAGGCTTGGAGTAAGTACTCCCCAGCCCCACCGAGCTGCCGGATCTCGCCACGCCACCCGCCGCCGCCGCCTCGCCCTCCCCCCACAGCGCGAACCCTTCCTCGCCGTGGGCGGCGTAGTCGCCGACGTACAGCTTGTCCTCCGACATCCTCAGCGGCACCAGCAGCCCGACCAGCCAGCAGATGGCGCTGGTGACGACGACGTTGAGGCCCGCGATGAAGAGCAGCCCCGCGGCCTGGACGCCCAGCTGGCGGAACCCGGCGGAGGCGTGGTTGTTCTGGAGGGCGTAGGCGAGGCCCGTGTAGCGCTCCCAGTCGGGCACCATGAAGAAGAGGCGGCAGAGCTTGGGGACGGCGAGGATGCCGGTGAGGATGCCGCCGAGGCTCCCCGCGACGGCGTGGGTGTGGAAGATGGCCATGGGATCGTCGACGTGGGTGAGGAAGGCGAGGCGCTTGTGGAGGACCATCATTGTGTACCACGGGATGCTTCCGGACACTACTCCCATTATTACTGCTGCCCACCCTTGCACCACACCTGCTCCATTGTCAACAAGAAACATGTGTTATACGACATTTTAATCGTAGTTCAACTGTTTCATATACTTAGACCTAGAAATCACATATTCGAATTTCTAGTATTTCGGATCTGACCAACCGTCGGATACTTTCTAAGAAAATACGGTATGTTTATGGTGGGGGTAATAGAATTAAATTAATTTAGTTACCTGCGGCAGGGGTGATGCAGACGAGGCCGGTGATCATGCCCTGGACGGCGCCGATGACGGATGGCTTGCCGAAGAAGATGCAGTCGAGGAGCAGCCACATCAGCAGGCTGACGGAGGTGCACACGTGTGTGTTTAGGACGGCGAGGGACGCGTCGATGCTGGCCGCAAAGGGTCCGCCGCCGTTGAACCCGCTCCAGCCCATCCACAGCAGCCCCGCTCCGGCCAGCGTCAGGATTATGTTGTTCGGCGGGAACTTCTCCCTGTCCTTGTCTAACCTCGGCCCCACCTATATACATATATATTTCGCCGGCAAATAAACAAATTAATACAACCCCTAATTATGCACTTTAATATCTCAATTACAGTCCAATGAAATGACTTATTCCAACCACAAATTGTAACATGATGTATAGTTACATGAAAGTAAGTTTTACACTTTTACTTGTGCATTACTTTACTACACTAAACTTGAGAAAAAGGACAAGAAGAGAGCGTACACTAGGCTAGGCCTTACCCAAAACGACGCCGTGATGCCGGCGAAACCAGCGGAGACATGAATCACGTAGCCGCCGGAGAAATCAATGATCCCCAACTTGGCCAGCCACCCGTCGGGGCACCAAACGCTAAAGGCGCCCACCGTGTACGAGAACGTGAGCCAAAGCGGCACAAACATGGCCCAAGCCAGGAAATTCATCCGGCCCAGCAGACTCCCGGCCACCAAAACCAACGTAATGCAGGCGAAAACCCCTTGGAAAAACACCATGGTGGCGTTGGGGAAGTTCCCCAGAAACGCCTTCCTCAGCAGGAAGTCCTCGTCCAGCGAGGTCCCCGGGCGGCCCCAAAACGGCAGCATCTTGTCGCCGAACGACATGCGGTATCCCCACCCGACCCAGCACACCATGACGGCGGCGAAGGCGTAGAGGGCCATGAAGGCCGAGTTGACGGCCCATTTCTTCTTCACCAGGCTGCCGTAGAGGATGACCAGGCCCGGGATTGTCTGGAGGCCCACGAACGCCGCCGCCGACAGCTGCCACGCGTTGTCGCCTTTGTTAAGCCACTCTGGGTTCGCCTCGTCGGGGACCAGGTTCGGAGGGAGCATCGCTTGCTCCATTGATTGCTTGATGTCTATGTAAAACTAGTGTTTTAATTTGAGTTGGTTTATAGTGGAATGTTGGGAAGATTTGAGAATGGCCGGCTAAGGGAGGCACAAAGCGAAATTTGTCTTTTTTTCTTTCCTTTTTCGTTGTGGTTGTTGTTGCTGCTGTTGATAGATACGGCATGATTATAATAGTTATTTATGGTGAAAGTGAGCTTATATATGTTGAATGATTCTAAAAAAATATTTGGCGGAATATCCAAAACTTTTGGTGGGTTGTGACAAGCAACGAAGCTCGCCAAGTATAATCGTTGTGAAAGATTTTGGGATATACGAGACAAATCAATTTAATTGGTGATTCTGCTGCTAAAATAAATGGGAGGTGGTGAATTAACTGGCCTTTTTAGTCATTCGATCGCATATTAAATGGCCTTTTTAGCTCATTATGGTATGCATGTATTTAAAATTATGAATTTTTTATTGAATATATGAAAAAATGTAATTACATATCTAAGCACATCTTATTATAAGCAATCAAGTAGTTGAATTGAAGATAAAAGATAAGTTAGCTTCATTGACGGAGTCGGGAGATCGAAATAGATGTGTGCTATAAATATATGAACAAATATTTTAGAAAGTTAATATTCATGTACGTAATTCATTCGTCTAACAAAACCAAAATCTATTAATACAAGTTTCTTTCTCTATAAACAACAATGAGTCCAGAGTAAATGATGGGTTGAATTAATTAATTAATTAAAGCTTTTAAAATGGGGATGCTATGATTGCAACATCGTCAATCAATATCAGTATCTCCGGTGATCATCTAAAATTCCCATATGGAGGATTGAGCAATAAGATGAGGACAAGTAAAAGCTGAGTGACAGTCTGACAGACAATGCAGGCTTTGGATCCTACATATGGACAGAGATGGCACTGGCTTCCAAGGGTAGTAGGTCCAAAATACATTGTTGGCCGTCCAAGGAAACGAAAGGAATGCACAAGTTGTAATACTAATTTTATTCCTTCAACCGCAGGCTTACTTGATAATGTGCAATTTGCCAATGAGAACTGAGAAGTGCATGTGTCCAATAAATGGGCCTTATCATCAACGAGCATTTTGGGCTTCATGTTAGAAACCCACGGTGACTATGTAAGTTTGGGCCCGCTCTCTTCTGAACTTTAGGATGGCTTTATGAACCGAACTTAAATCTGTAGACTGAAAGAAGAGGGCGGGGTCTTGGGCTGGGCATAACTACCAGAATGAAAAAAAAGCCTTTTTTTGGGTAAGAAGACGGGCGTCAGTGCATCCTAAATCGTATTAACAATAGAACGATCCATGGAGATTGCCATGGAATCATACAAGTGCCAGTTACACAAAGTTGGGTCGTACACATTGTAAGGATGTGTACCAAAAGTGTGTTGGGACTTTTTGAGACGAGGGTACACATACGATAGCCCGAGACCGGGTGACTAGGATTATGATAGAGTCGTGAACTACGTTCACTTTCCGTAAAGAATATTTCCACCCTCAACAAGCCTAGGGTTATAGGAAATTTCTTCGTAGGATAAAACTATCACCACTTTAGGTTCCAGACTTAAGTACCTAAAGCATACTTAGAAGTTTAGTAGGAAGAAGAATAATTTTTGGTGTGTCCCCTCCACCAGCCGAACACATCTATTTATAGTGGTTGAAACAATGCGTTGCTTTACCATGAATCATTGTATTGCTTCGGCCCATGCCTTAATTATCATGATCAATCGCCAATATCCAAGCAATATATTGCTTCGTACGTGGCTTAATTATCATTAGCAAGCACCGCCTAACCACCATCACCATTCGTATCATGCATGGCAAAGCTTTGCTTGGTGGCTTTCAAATTCAAATATATGGAATGGTTGCATTGTTTGGCCACTAACTGCCAATTTCCATGCACCACGTGATGATTAAAGTTCAAAAAGGACTTAAACTTTGCATCACAAATTTTCATGTGGCCATGAATTTGATTCATCTTATTTGGTTGATTTAATCCCGAACTGGTTGGTTGGTTCAATCCAAAACCGGTCCGATTCAACCAAATTTCCAACATTCCTCCCCCATTTTAGTATATTCATAGAATGCACTAAAATCACAACATTCAACATTCTTCCAACAAAACTTAAGCATAAATGAAAATGTCGTGACGATTGAATTTTCACCTTAGTATATTACACTTGACGAATACTCGAATACAAAGGGTGTCAGTAACGATTGAACCCATTGACTCATATGAATATTCGAAGATAATATACACTTAAGTTTTCAAAACTTCTAAGCGCCTTGACACTATTACCCGCCATGTGCCCAATCCTTCTCATAAGCGCACACGAAACCAAAGTCCAGGTTTCTTGAAGCGGCTACACTTCAGGCTTACGTAGGTTGAATCTCTTATTCATGTACCCACATAATACACTTTTTCAAAGATTCAATTAAGAAGTTTGAACTTCATCCTCCTCTCTCATGTAGGGTAACAAGCACATACCTCGGGATGACAAATTATGTGCTTTCAATTTCTGATAATGAGCTTTCCACATTGAATTCAGCCTCTAACGTTGTATTAGAGGGGAATTGGGTGTCCCATTACTAGAAATTATATGGACTTTTAACCCATCCCTTTCACAGACTTGATCACCAAGTCACTAGTTAACCATTTCGTCAAATGATCAACCAAATTATTTCGAGTCTGGTCATACTGTCTAGACACAACTCTATGAATGATCAGTTCACAGATTTTACCGTGCCTTACTCCCACATGACCAGGGGCGGAGGGAGAGAGTTAGAGGGTGGGTCCCGGGACCCATCCTGGCTCGGCTTAGAAAATGGTAAATTAGGTACAATAGTTAATTGGGTATGAAAATAATATGTATTTAAATGAAATTGGTAGACCTTTGAAATATTTGATGTATAATTTATAACGAGCGTTGACATATTCAATGTATTCATAACGAGCTATGTACAAATGATAATGATGTATATGATTCGACCAAAATTGAAGATGTATGTATTCAATATTTATAACAAATTTCCACCAAATCATAATTCATTTGTAAAAATAATTTTATTTCAATCAGGGGTAGGGAGATTGTAACAGGTGTTTCCTAAGGAAAAAATTAATAAATTAGTATAATAGTTAATTGGGAATGAAATTTAGGGCGCTCCTAATTGAGAATGGTTGACCAGATATCATTTGTTCGAATCTTTGTAACCCCATTTGTTAAACACATGATATTCGGATTTACGTAAACTTTAAGCACGCATAAGTTGGTTCTACTAAGCAGGAAAGTGTTAGTAAATACTAAATAGTATTAGATTCATTATTAAATCTTTCCTAACAACTCGAGTTAATGATACTAAACGGTCTTGACGAAGAACACGATTCAAAAGCAAATGTCTAACTAAATCATAAATAATTGTTTGATACATATATGGTGATATTCTTAATAGTTTTGACATATAATTTAATTTACCAAGTTTTTGCAAATACAAAATTATATCATAAACAATTTAGAAAGCTAACAAAATTATTTTATCGTATGTATTTTTTCTAAATGGACCCACCCTCGACAAAATCCTGGCTACGCCCCTGCACATGACCGTACTTGTCATTTTCACTTGACTATATGCCTTAGTCAAATTAGCATTACTATCACAAATGATAGTAATAGGTGAGATTGGTTTAGGCCATAAATATATGTCATAAACCAAACCTCTCAACAATTATGTCTCTTCTCTAAGAGAAACCAAAACCACACAAACTTTGATTCCATTGTGAAACTTAGTGATGCAAGTTTGCTTTCTAGAGGGCCAAAATATGGCACCTCCCCCAAGCAAGAGGACCCATCTCGATGTTGAAGTATGACCTTTAACATGAGAAATCCAACTAACATCAATAAATCCTTCCAAAATTTATGAAAAGCCACTATTAGTCAATACAGTGTGCCTTTGAGATATCCTAGTACACACCTCATTTCATTTCAAATGATGAGAACAAGGATTCATCACGTACCAACTTAATTGTTCTATCGCATATGCGATATCTAGCATCATGTAAGTCATGCATACATCGAGCCCCGAATTTGACATGGAATACTCCAGTTGTAAAACTGATTTCCAGTATTAACCATAAATTCCTACAATGGAATTTATGCAAGTACCTTCTCATGTAAAAAAATTGAGAGAAGAAATCTTCTTTGTCATTCCGCTTGATTCAATACACCGAATCACATGCATTTGCCTCCCCCGTGTCCCTCATGGAGAATTGAAATAACAACTTTTTATCAAAGTTCACTTATCTTTTATTGGTTCCAAAGATAAGCATGTCTTATACATACAAATGTATGGTGACTCCATTACCAGAATCATCATAAATTGTGTACATTTTGTCTCCTTGGTTTAAAATAACAAAAACCACTAGACAAAATTACTTATCTTTGATTGGTCCCAAAGATAAATATGTCATCTACATACAAACACAACGACTCTATTACCAGAATCATCAAACATTGTATATACAATTTTGTCTCCTTGGTTTAACATAAACCACTTAGACAAAACCACACCATCAAACCACCAAAAAATCCATATTTGTCTAGCACTTCGTAAACGTCGAATAGAGAATTAGACAAATTTACCATTGAGTATGTGACCTACCCAAATACAATTTTCATTCTTCTATTTCTCCATTTTACGAATCATTCTCCTTCTTCCTCATCTTCGAATCATCCCTCTTCCAAGTTACCTTCCGGATATGGAATACACCATGAGACTAGTACGAAGAACACCCATCTTCTACTACCATTGATGAAATACCCATCATCGAAAATTCTCATAATTCCATGGACCGGAACCGGTTTTTTTTGTAAAGAGCGGTTCGAGCCATCGTACCGGAAAAATATTCTTTATGATTGTTGGGACTTTTTGAGACGAGGGTACACGTACGATAGCCCGAGACCGGGTGACTAGGATTATGATAGAGTCGTGAACTACGTTCACTTTCCGT